CCCCAGGAATGTTCCTGCTCTCTGTGGCCGAGGGGGATGTTCCCAGATCTTTCTGTGACTGAGCCTGGGGGGGCTGTGGCTGGGGCAGTAGGTTCTGAGCGGGGGACTCTTGTTGTTGATACAGGTGCCCGTGACCTTCGAAGAGGTGGCTGTGTATTTCACTGAGGGGGAATGGGCACTGTTGGACCCGGGTCAGAGAGCCCTGTACAGGGACGTCATGCTGGAGAATTACAGGAATGTGACCTCGCTGGGTAAGGATTCCTGTGCCCTCAGTCTTAGAAACTGTGCATCTTTGAAGTGCCCAGGTTGGCTTTTGCTCAGGATTCTTCCCTGATCGCTTAGATTTCAGGGGGATCAGCCCCATAGTCGCAGGCTCAGCAGGGTTAGGAAGGTGTAAAGAGTTTGCACAGTGGCACTGTGCCAGAGTCATAAAATCCCCCAGTGCGTGGAGATCCCTGAATCCTCTTCTGCCCTCCCCAAAGGGTCTCCAGGAACACTTCCCATCCCTTTGGTGTATACAAGGGCATCCACCCACCCAGCACATCTGGAAACAGCTGTCTCAGAACAACTGTAAAACTCTGATCTCACTTCATTTCTTTTCCCGGAGCAGGTTTTCCAATTTCCAAGCCCAGCGTGATCTCCCAGCTGGACCAAGGGGAAGAGCTGTGGGTCCCTGATCTCCAGGAGTCCCAGGCTAGAGAGATCCAGAGAAACATCCCCAGAGGTGAGAGATTGGTTAAACGGATGTGGAAACCATCCCTCATTGACTTAAAGTGCTGGGATTCCCACGCAGGCCCCTTGAGCTCCTCCAGTTCTAACTCATTGCCTCCGGGTCAGGATTGTGCCCAGCAGGTGTCATGACCTCCTGGCAGACATAATTCATGGCTTTCCACGCATCCTGACTGACCCCTGGCAGTAGCTCCCTGCCCCCTGACTGTTCAGATGGATGTGGAGGAAGAATTGGGTGTTCTCCTTCCAGGTGTGTGAGTGCTCAGTGATCTGTAGCCAGAGAGCTTTCCCTGGTGGTACCTGTCATTTGCCATGCATGTCCTCGTGTATCCACCCCAGCACCCTCACAGCTCCTTCTCACCACTGGTGTCTGGTGGTCAGAGTTCTCCATCGGCTGCTGTTCACGGGTTCCCTTTTTTTCTTCTAAGAAAACTTTTTCTCCATATAAATAGTTCTGGTAGCTTATTTTTTAGCCATGTTTTTCCCACTGGAGATTTGTTTATTTCCTATTTTATGAAGCTTTTGTTCTTGTTTTTCTCTGGGGCTCTTTTACCTGGTACCGGATGGCTTGGTTATGCCAAAGTCTCCTAGAGTTCAGCACTGTCTCACTTGCAGGGTGTCTAATCCACTGAACGATCCTCACACTCATTGTTTATTTTGCCTCACTGAGGGGCACATGAGAGACAAGTGCTCTATTTGTAGATCTTTCAAGAGGAGAACACAAAAATCTAGGGACATGAGAGTAAAATATTACCATATGGAGCATGCTTGCATCCCTTCTCAGACCTCAGTCATCTGGAGTCCAATGCTTTGTCCTACGGCAGGAGTTCTCCTATGGATTTTTCTGACTCACCTCATGGCTTGAAGTCAGAGACAGACACAAGAGAAGAGGAATTGTTCCCCTTCTCCCACCATGTGTTGTAAGAACTGTAAGTCAGTCTCAGGGTAAGACTTGACTTATAAATCAAAGAGCTTTTTCTTCTTCAGAACCAGACTCTGGGAACTGAAAAGCCTCAGCAGAGTCCTCATGGGAACAGTCAGGTTACAGCACAAGTAGAGACTAGCTGCTCCCCAGTATCGACAGTGAAATCAGGGCAGGAAATCCAGCCATTGACTCCAGGACCAGTGCAGGTATCCTCGAGAATGGCTCTGACAGTTTATTAGAGGCACGAACTTCTGCCAAAATATTATTGAGATGTCATGAGATTTGCTCTGTCTGTCAGTCCCGAATTCCCCTTGGCTGCAACAAGACCCAACTCTGACTACTCATAGGGTACAACCTTTATTACAGCCAGAGCTGCCCTCAGCACTGGCTAGAATGTCTGTAGGACCGATACCATCAGTCATGGTGTCCTCTGTACCTTTGAAGCCTCCGGTACCGGTTTCTTGTACACAGATGGTTCCGACAGGACTCAAGACATCAGTATTGACATTTAAACCTTCTGCCAACAGGCACAGATCCAGAGGCTCTACACCTGTGATTCCTCCTAGTATCATACCACCGGTGGCATCCAACTGCCCATATTCATTATCAGATTCAGAAGAAGAACCCTATACTTCTTACGGTAGAGGGAGATCTAGATTCTCTCCATTACGTTCTTCAGTGACAAAATAGAGCATTCAATGGAGATGATACCACAATGGTAGATCTAGACATAGATTTCCATGATCTTGCAGATGAACCCTGTGTCATACGGGTACATGCAATAGCTGGACTGGAACCCATGCAGCATCCCTCCAGCTTCTAGGCTGGCTTCTCCAGACTGTTTTCCAAGAAATTCTGTGTGGGTGGGAATTAAGTTCGGGGTAAGACTCATGTTATACCTCAAACTAGCTGTGCTGTAAAGACACGCTCTGTAGATAAGTTTAGTTATTTCTTTCATAAGTCTTTTCTCAAGTTACAAAGCCAACATCCCCTGAGCTTAAAATTTAGTATTGTCTCTTCCAGGGATTCTCCCTTTGAGCTGATGGCTTTTTGTCCTCTTCAGTATTTATCTGTTGCTTTTATCCTAGGATGGTAACTCTCATGCTCCCGGAATATGGCACACTCCGGTACTTTCCAAAACATCATGAACCTGTCCCTGCTGACATGACCCCATGCCCACCAGAGTGACTTTTCATGCCTGGTGTGTGTGAGCTCACGCCACATGGGGAGTGGAATTTTTAAGAGCCCTCCCTCTCCTCTCCCCCCCGCACCAGCGTGACCTTATGTCTAGGATCACGCTGTCAGGGTAGGACTGGCATCCCCCATCTGATACTGGACAAAACCAATTTCGTCTGAATACCGGATGCGAACACACCCGAGAAAAACAGGACTGTTCAGTTTAATACCAGACAAGTGGCCTGCCTAATTTTATCAGCTACGGTCGCCTTTCCAGTGGCAGTTACTTCCACTAGAAGGGTTTGGAAACCACAAGCATGAATTTCATACCCCTCCCCCCACCCCTCTTTCCACTATTTTTATGAGGATAAAGTTGCTTTAAAGCCTCATCCAACGTTCTTTATCAAGGCTGGTTACCGATTTCCATCTCAACCAAACCAGCTTTTTATCTCCCTTTTCCCCCAAACCACATTCATGTAAGCTTGAGGAGAAACAGCATTTTCTGGTCATCTGCTGGGCCCTTGCCTTTTATCTGGACAGGACAAAACAGTTTCAGTCTTTGCCTCAATTCTTTGTTTCCTGTGTGGAGAGAATGAAAGGACAGGAGGTTCCCTTACAGTGAATTTCTTGGTGGATCACCTCTCGTATCACTACAAGTTATGATGTTGCAAAGTTAAAACTACCTTCCAAGCTGACTGTATGTTCAGTGAGAGCCTCGGCAGCTTTCCTAAGGGATATTTCAATCCAAGATATCTGCAGGGCAGCAACCTGGTCTTCAATTCACACTGTTCCCAAGCACTGTGACATTTCAGCCACTTCCAGAGACTGTGCTAGCTTTAGAAAGGCTGGTCTGCAGTGGCTTTGCAGATAGACTCTGAACCCTCCTCCATAGAACACTGCCTGGGAGTTACCTGAAGTGGAATAGACACATGAAATCATTCAAAGATAACAAAAATTAGATACCTATGTGACCCGAGGTGCCTAGGGCAGCCCACACTGAAAATGCCAAAGTCAGGGCAGGCTCCAAAGAAGAGAGCAAATTCTCCCAAAACTGGTGGCTAACACTGTAGGTAGATTCACCAACCAGTCACAAACTGTGCTCCTGATCCCCCACGCTAGTTATGAAGAAGCTAAAAAAATAAATAAAAAGCAGCCATCACACAGCCCCTTTTCATCCACTCCAGTCACTGGCTCCGAGTCAGCAAAGTCCTGTAAAGTGAGAAGTTACTTAAAACTCTATTCACTATACAAAATGTTCTTCTGATCCCTAAAGGGCCAGCCACATTACCAGATCAATACTAGTTTGGATCTTACCCAAAATACCACACTGCCAGCCAATCCTTTAGTATCTAAAACGAAAGATTTATTAGAAAAGCAAAGAACGAGAAGAGAGTTGTTAAATGTTCAAAGCAATCAGATACATACATATGACTTCAGATGCCATATGTCAGGTTCTTAGCAACACTGGTGAGTTTGCTGGCTTGGAAAGTCCCTCTGGAACACATCCAAAGCCTAGATGGGCCTATCAATCCTTTGTCCAGAGCTTTAGTTTGTAGAGAAGTTACTCCAGAGGTGAGGAGCAGGATTGAAGACAATGTGGAGGTGATGCTGCTGCCTTTTTCTATTCTCTGCCATGTGGCTTGTACATCTTTTGTCCCAAACACAAGCTCACAGCACATGGGCATGGAAAGGTACTTAGAGTCCCCTGTCTATAGGCATGTCCCTACATGTTCTGCTGACTCATAGGCATAGCCCCTGCCTTCTCTCAATGGGCTCATTGTACAGCTGATTGCCCTTGATAGGCCAGTAAGCAGGCTGGATAGTGCTGATGCCAATCTGTCTGGGGGGGTCACCCAGAAACACAGCACAAGTTTCAGCTAGCACTATACCACACGTATTTATAACTCATGATACAAAGATGGTACATACAAATAAACAAGCTTATCATATTTAGCAAATCATAACTTTTTCACTGATACTTTATATGACATATATGATTCACTGCAATTTTGTAATATTAATATCGATAATATTATAAATGGTCACCCATATTCCATACAGCATCACACTGGTTGTTTTCCAGAATGTGTTGCACATGTCTATTCCACCACCCATCCTCTTCTCTTCTGCTTCAGAGTCCATTATGTTAGGATGCTGGTGCAAATGAACTGAGATGATGCCCGGGGCAGATCTGCCCTTCATGCCCTCAGCTGGATGCATGAAGGCATGCATGGCACATGTACCACTACAGAAAACTCTCCCATTACAGTGTCATGCACACCCCTAAAGCGGAATAGATGTGAAGTGGAATAGACATGTGCAACATCTTGAAAAACAGCAAATACAGTAAAGGTTGGTAGCTGATTTTTCCCTTCTCTCTTTCTTCCGGGGAATGGTTTGTGCAGGATTCAACACCTGATTTGTCTGTCTTCCCAGCAGTTATTTTGGTTTGTTTCCCCACTTTCCTGTTCCCCTTTTCTCACCTTCCTTTTCCCCAGGCACAGGGACTGACTCCTGTCTGGATTCTCTCTCTGTCCCAGCAGGTGATGAGACGGTGAGTGAGAGCAATGAAGAGAGTCCTTGTCCGGCCGGTCCTGAGCAAATGGAACTGAAGGGGACGTTGCTGGGAAGGTGTGAAGGGGATGATTCCCAGATTCCCGGGCAAGGACAAGCCCAAGAAACTCAGTGCAGGCCAGAGAAGCAGCAGGGAACCCCCCCAGGAAAGATACTGGGTGAATCCACTTGCCGAGGGGGAGGTTTGGAAGAACCTAATGAAGCCACGATCCAGCCAAGAACCTGCACTAAGGAGAAGCGTTTCGAATGTGCTGAGTGCAGGAAACGCTTTAGTTGTAAAGAACACCTTGTTAGACATCTGAGAGTCCACACTGGAGAGACCCCGTATCACTGCCCCGAGTGTGGGAAACAATTCAGTGACCAATCTATCCTTATTAGACATCAGCGAACTCATACAGGAGAGAGACCCTATAAGTGCACTGACTGCGGGAAAAGCTTCAGTCAGAGGTCAGGCCTTATTACACATCAGACAGTCCACACAGGAGAGAAATGCCATAAATGTCCTGACTGTGGACAAACCTTCACTCAGAGAGGGCATGTTACTAGACATCGGAGGACTCACACGGGTGAGAGACCCTATGGATGCCCAGAGTGTGGAAAAAAGTTCGCTTCCACCTCTGACCTTATTATACATCAGAGAATCCACACGGGAGAGAAACCCTATAACTGCCCCGACTGTGGGAAAAGCTTCAGTCACAGCCATCACCTTACTGACCATCGGAGAATCCACACAGGAGAGAGACCCTATACCTGCCCCGACTGTGGGGAAAGCTTCAAAAGTAAATCTGGCTTCAAAGTCCATTGGAGAAGGCACACGGGAGAGTGCCCCTATCAATGTTCCATCTGTGGGGAAAGGTACAAAACCAGGAACTCTCTAACATGCCACATGAAACACCACACAGAATAGTGCCAGACATTTCCCCTCCTCTCTCTGCATCTGTAGAGATAGGAAGAACCATGAGGATAATAAACAGTTGCCCAATGCCCTAGGGAGTCAAGTGGCACCACTATTTACTTGTGTGCTGTGTATTTCAGGAGGACGGAGGCACCAGGTGACATTATTATTATTACTGTATTGCATTATTCTCTGACACTCTCCCATCCCATCCCAGCTCCCTCTGTCATGAGGAGGCTTTTACTGAGCCAAAGGGTTTACATGGATTTCCTGGTCCGTTTTTAGGCAGGGGCTCAGTTCATATTGTTGCACACAGGAATTATTCTGTAAATTGCTGCCCCAAGAGGCATTTTCTCCCTGTTTCTGCATGGTGGGGAGAGCAGGGGTCTGAAATTTCTGGATAGTTGGGTGTCAGTGGATTGTTTATTGTTCATTGAATTATTTTCTGGGTATTGCTCAATTATGTGTTTTTTCCCCAAATAAGATGTAAATAAAACTTTTCTGGCAAAACTCATTTTCCTGAGCAGCCTGGGAATTTCACTGGTTCTTGAGCTCTGGGAGGGAGAGGGGCCAAGTGTCCCAGACTGGGTGAGTTGTCTCCCTCTGCAGGAATTGCTCATTTCCCCCATATTCAGCTCTTTCCCTGATGTCTCGGCCCATCCAGCTTTGGAAGCTGGAGCATAGCCACATCTGTGTCTTTGCTCTTGCAGCTTTGACGGCCTCTGGGCTCTATCCTTGGGTCTTCCCTTCCCCTCTACAAGGGGTTTAATTGGGGCAGGAGAGAAACATCCTCAGAGGCAGAATAGATGGACATTTCCAGATGGGGAGCAGCTCGTCTCCTTCTCCCCAGCAGCATCTCCAGCATCTGTCCCATCTACTCTGTCCCACATCAGTGAGGAATCCAGTGACTCATGGGCAGAACTGTGACATTTCTCATGGGCATAGAGCAACTGCATGGCTCTGAGAGCCCCTCGCCAACTCCATCCCAGGTGTTCGCTTTCCATCGGATGCCTGGATCCTACTCCCACTTTCCTGCATTTTTTTGTAATTCTGTAGTTCCCTGGTGTGGTGCCTGCATTGCTGACTTGGGGAGAACCCCTGTTTCCCCAACACTCTGCTGTCCCATTCTCTCTCCTCCCCCTCAGTTCCATTGCACCCTGGAGCCATCCAACCCCTGCCCTAGGGCTCTGATCACAACCCCAGCCTTGGACCTGTGTGGAGAGCAGTGAACAAATGGAGCCACCAGCCAGAACATCCCATGTGTTTGTTACTGACTGAAACAACCAGCCCAGGTGTCTCCATTCAGGTGTTCATGAAAGTCCTGGGGTATTGTCTGAGCTGGAGGGAAACAGAGCAGCCCTGCCGGGGATGGAGAATGGCTCTGGGAGCCCTTGGGGAGGAAGGCCCCAGAGTTGGAAAACCCAACTGGGGTTGGGGAAGGCCATAAGGGCAGATAATGCCTATGGTCCAGGAGAGGCTGGACTAACTGTGGGAGAGAGGGAGGGTGTTGGGGTAGGAGAGCTGGCAAAACTGGGTAGGTGGGGGTGAGAATAATTTGCCATGCAGACACCATATGGGAGGGCAAACATGGGCAGCACGAGTGACTGAGGGAGACAGACAAGAAGCCATGAGTGGGAGCGATTGACCCTGGAGTTTGCCATGTGACAAAGCAGCAGCAAAGGCCAGTGTGATTCTCAGGGCTGTGTAGGCAAAGGTGTCTGGGGCGGGGAGGGGAGAGTCACTCTCTGCAGAGCTCTGGGGACACCCACCTGGGAGCCTGGACCCAGCCTGGCTGCCCAGGCCCATGAACTGCAGGGGTCCTGATATTCCTGTTTCATGGCTCTCATTCTGGGGGGATTTCTTAAGGAAAAAGGACTGTGTGCCCAAAGATCGCCTTGGAGGGGGAAGTTACATGTCTTGGCTTGAGCTTCAGGAGCTCTCGTGGGGTCTGTAGAGAACCTGGAATCTCCCAGGGGTTTGCCAGATCAAATTGATTAGTGCAGTATCTGTAATTTGCGATGATGCTCAAGAAATAAGCACACATTTTAGATCGACACAGAAAAGATAAAATGCACAGATTTGACCCTACTCCCAAATGCAAATTACACTTAGAAAGCCCCAATAAAAATACAACTACAAAAATGAATATGTGGATCCATTTAATTCATAAAGAAAATTAATTTCACCCAGTTCTTTTCCCGTTTTTGTCGCTTACCCGGTAAATAGAGCAACTACCCGTATTACCGAAACGGTGTTGCTGCATCCCCAATATTCTTTTTAAGCCAATGAGGCAAAAGGCATCTGTGCCAAGGCTAGAGAGAGTCACTTATTTCCCTCCAGCAAAATGAAAATTAGAAAATAATAAGTAACACGGCAATATCTTTACCCTGGCCAGACATGCTTAGGCATAAATGGTTGAACCTCTTCAGTACCAGTGTACCCCGCCTTCTGAGTGAGCCGACAGCATTGTTTGGAGACTTAGATCTGTAATTGCCCTTCTTAGGTTATTACTCTTCAACAGTTCCAAATATTTCACTGATGGGACCATTTCAAAGCGCTGTTCTTGATTTGTTTTTTAGGGAACTTTTTCATAGGTTTTATGCTACAATCTAATATTTTTTAATAAAAACAGAGTTTTAAACATAGCTTTACTTTTTCTTTACAATGAAATATAGTTAGGCCCCATTTCTACTTTGTATGAAAGGAAGTGATGAACTAATTGTATTTTCGCAAGTAGACTTATATTGCAAAGGTCTGGAATTGGTGGTAACCTGTTAACTGCAACTGTTTCATCTAATTTTAAACACTGTATGATTAACACACAACTATAGAGCTACAAAAGTTTCACAACATTTTATTGGCACATATTTACTGTCTCATTAGTTCAATAAAAGATTTTTTCCCCTTGCAATTCAAAAAACTTCTCTAGGGCACTAGCAATCAACCAGTTGAACTGGTAAAGAACCATAAAGAATGACTGAAATCTCAATAGCTGAAGAAGAACCATAAAGAATCACAAAAATGCCATCAGCAGCCATTTTTTCTTAGATCTCTAAGGGTGTGTCTACACTTCAGTATAGACTTCTGGGTGACAGCTGAGACCTGGGTTTTAGGACCCTGTGAGGTGGGAGGAGCTCGGAAGTCACACTGCAACTAAATGGCTCCCCAGCCCCACCCAGAGCCCCACATCTGCCTGAGTCAGCTGGCACAGGCCAGCCACAGATGTCTAACTGCTGTGCAGACACACCCTCAGATGGCTGATGTCAGCTAAGGATATTCCAGTGGATAGCAGGATATTGGGTTGCATGTCTGAGAAGAGTATGTTCTCAATTTGAAAAGGGGGAAGGCAGGGGTTCCCAAAATATGGGCCGCGGCCCACCACTCCTGGGTGGTCCGCCAGCGCAACTGCATTCGCCAGTCACATTCTCAGTAAATATTTGACTCCATGTGACTTGCGTAATCTAAGTAAAAGCTACATCAATATAATGATTTGAGCGTATATGTTGGTCAGAATATAGAAAAAACTTTATTTTATTTTATTAAAAAAAAACAAAACAAGCTGCAATACGTCCGGTGTAATTCTCACTAGTACAACGGTGCATTTCACTGCAAGGTGACCTAGCAACGTACACGCAGTCCGCCATTTACAACTCTACTTCAATCTGACAAAGATGGATTTCTTTTCTGAAAATGATAAGGGTGAACTGGTGGAGAACATAATGAAAGTCACGGGCCAGCTACATGAAATGAGCCAGCCAAAAAAATAAAGTAAGTGTTAGGAAAATAGGATGAGACATACTTGAAGTTTGGATTCTCCTTTACTGGGTCAGATGAGAACCTGTTGCTGTTACCCCAAATTGGGCCAGCTAGTAAGCTTAGGGAGGACTAATGACTCACGGGCAGAAAGCAGCACGTTTATTATATTGATAGCTAAGCTCAAAAGAATGGGGGCAGGGGGTCACACTCATACTTGCATACTCATGCTCCCAGGACAGGCACGGCACTGGAGATGTCAGGATCCTTCAAGGTAAGTGTCCCACAGCGCAGCGATGGACAGTACGATGAAGGTAAGTCTTCCCGAGGCACGATGGAATGCAACACAGTGAACCACTGGCCAGGCGGTCCGGGCGAAGGGCCTTTACGGGAGGTACAAGATTGTGAGCGCACTCTTGAGCACATGGCCCCTTCCCCTTTTAAGGACCTGCTCCTCATGGCCTGTGACTAGAGATGACTTGGCCGCATCTGGTTGGTCACACTCCACCTCGGGCAGTGTCCATGCAGCGTCCATGCATTGGGTGTGTGATCGCTGCCTAATTAGAGTCCCAGACACCTTGTCTACCTGGGAGTTCTTCTGATCTTCCAGCTGTTCAAGCAGCCCATTCATCCCCCAAGCATTCCAGGAGGGAGGGGGAGGGGGAAAGCCACTTCACAGGTATTAAAAGAGGGAGAGGAGATGTCACGGAACGTGGGGGACACAAGGCTCTGCACCCCCGGCTTCCTGTGATTCACCATGACTCTCAGCCAGCCAGTAAAACAGAAGGTTTATTTAGACGACAGGAACACAGTCCAAGACAGGTCTTGCAGGCACAGACAACAGGACCCCCTCAGTTAGGTCCATCTTGGGGTTCCAGGGGCACCACAGCCCCGTTGGGGGGTCAGAGCCCCGTCCGGGCTCCCCTCCATTACCAGCCAGCTCCTGAAACTCCAACTCCCTCCAGCGTCTCTCACCCAGCCTTTGTCCAGTTTCCTGGTCAGAGGTGTCACCTCGCCTCCAACCCCCTTTCTGGGTTCTCACGTTACATGCTCAGGTATCTTCCCTCAAGGCCAGTCTCCCATCCCCCAATGCAGACCGTCCCAGCCAACCTCCCCACTCAGCATTCAAAGACCACATTAGGAACAGTCCCAGTTCTTCACATCTCTCCCCCCTTCGAGACCGAACTGAGCAGGGTCACTTCAGCCAGAGACCTGGGGAAGTTAGAACCTACTCATGTTCCCATGGATGCCCCCGCATTCCTCCCATTCCTTGGTGAGAATTACACCAGGCCCTTCCAGTTTCACCCCCCCCACCCTTAGGTCGGGTGTGCTCGATGACACTTGTAGTTCGCATGTGGGAAGGCTTATGTGGCCCGTGCCCTTTTCCAACCCCAATACCCCTGGGGTTCAAACTGGGCTGGGGTCTTCTCCCAGCATTCCAGTCTGCAGGTCTGTGATTCGGGCTCTCTTGGTTCAGAGCCCCCCTTTTGACCGTGGCCACCACCTGGAAAGGCTACTCTATGATGGGCAAGGGTCCTAAAGCCGTTTTCCCCTTGTCCCGGGCCTTCCTCACCCTCTGACAGGAGTCACAGGATCGGCAGTACTGTTGGACAGTAATAAAGATCCCAGGCCAGTAAAAGTTCTGTAGCAGCCTCTGCTGGGTACACCAGGTTCCCTGGTGCCCTGAGAGGGGGATGTCATGGGCCCGGCACAGCAG